CACTTATTTGAAGTTTTTTTTTACTGTGCGCTTGAAGCCAAGACCATTTGTCAAAAGTTTCTGGGCACGCTGAATCCGCAAAACATACCATACCCGTATATTTTCTTTGGGCATCTAGATATCTTTACCATAAAGTTCTTAGGAAATGCTGAAGAGATGATTTCCTACGGTGCAGTTACCATGTCTTACAATATAAAGCTTCGAGCAAGATAAATATGTTGTTCGGATTTGATGTTTCCCTCACTTCATTATTTCTTTAGCCACATATATGGATCTGGAGAAGCTAAAATTCAGTGAGAGCACCATATACTTCAGGGCTTAAGTGTTCAAATGTCCGTCTTTTTCAGCCTAATGCGTCTATTGTTATCCCTAAAGAAGATAACGCGCATATTGCAAAACATGTAAGATATACAATCGAGAAATGAATTATCAAGCGGAATGGACATGAATCAACTTGAGATTGAGATATCAGCAAAATCTGTATAGATGTGCATTTATAACCGAAAAATCATGGACAAGAGCGATTCTTTAACCGCTCCATGTTGTAGGACATTTTATATGCGTAACTGAAACAGGATTAAAACAATGTTCAGCTAAGAGAAGTTCTGAATCCTTGGAATGCCACTAGTTAAATGTTTTAGCTGTAAACCCTGCTGGTAATAGAATGTGTCCGAACAATGTTGGTATGACTGATGCAGAAAGAACTTGGGTCACGAATGCACATAATGAAAAAAGGTAAGATTCTAGGACCTTAGTGTGTTTAATAAAACATCTAGCAGAAACGTTTTTTGATTTTCAGAAGTTTGCTTGCAAGAGGTCTCATTCGAAACGGCAAAAATCCAAGAAATAAAAATCTACCACGAGCTTATTACATGCCAAGAATGGTAGGTTATCTTACCAAAAAGAGAAGATATCTTATTCTGTGAGATAGCTGCTTCTATGTACAGACATACGACTGTAGAGCTGAAGCAGATGCGATAGCTTATGCACAACTCTGCACAATGATGAAGTCGGACGAAAGAG